TATCTGGGTGACCTCTCTTAACCTGAATACAACCGTTTACTTGCTTTGTTAGTTTGTTAGTTTAGACTTGCATTAAAGTTTCATTGCTAGATAACAAGAATTCACTGAGTAGTCATCAAATCTAGGACCCGGGTTGATAATTAAACCTAAACCCGCTATACTACGCTTTAGGAAGTGGTTTCACTTGGCCAATTCCTGGAGTGACAGTAGAAGTGAGTCAAGTTTTTGGCGCCGTTGCCGGGGACGGCTAGGTTGTTGAAGAAAAGTGATTTATGTTAATATAGCTTTTCTTTTTGCTTTGTTTGCTTTGTCCAACTTGTGCCTTCACGGGTTTGCTTGCTTGAGTGTGTGCAGGTAGTGCATGACCCAAAATGGAATTCTAAATCGAGAAAGATCGACTAAGGAGATGACTTTCTTATTAATAGGTTCACCGAGATAATTCGGCTAGGAGGGATTTCTTCGAGTAAAGAATCGAGAAGTCAGCTTTGTAAGGTGAGTGTAAAGGGGGTAAATTCTACGCCTTACGTGTTCTTTCAAGAGTTACAAGTTTTGAGTATTTGATGAAGTGAATGTTGTTGTTTGATTGTGCTTATAGTTGATGATATGTGATTTTGTTTGAGCCATGCTTGATGTAACTGTGCATGAGTTTTATTTAAATTTAAGCTTTAAGTTTATAAGTTATTGTTGAATTAAGAAGCAAGTTCTTTTTAAGAAGTAACTCACCTTCAAGAAGGTGAAGTGTTTTAAGTGTTTTTAGTCACTAGCGCCAGTCCATTGCCTTTTGAGACAGTTTGAGATAGAGCAGCAGTTATGCTCTTGAGATTTTAAGATGGGCAGCAGTTATGCCCTTGAGAATCGTGGTGAAGAGCCACCACGATAAGTTTAAGATGTTAGGGGATGAATCGTTACGACTTCACTAACTAAGTTTAAGTTTAAGGAAAGCCTGAATGGCTTCTCATACGTATGAGTTGGCAACCGGACTAGCTAGTGAGGGATCCCCGTGTCAGTCAAAAGATTTGAGTCAAGTTTTGAGCTTTAAGAAGGGAGAGTAACTTTAACTCCCGGAGAATTCTTGAGTTATAATTGTTAAGAGTGGAAGTACAAAACAACTTTCACTAGTAGAAGTTAAGTATTTAGAGAAGAGTACTAAAGTACTATAGATTTTATCGTAAGGGCGTAGACTGACCCCAACTCACTCACCAGATCGTAGAGGAGGAAATCCTAACCAGCCAGTTCGTGATCAGCAAACTAGAGGAGCTCAACTCCATCGTCTCTGAGAGATGTCGAGCCAGGCGTCAGAGTAAGCATCGGAGAACTTTTTCCAGTTATTTAGATTTTATGGTTAAGAGTTAAAGATTGGAGATTCATTTCTTTTGGACAAATTTGAGTTTTGCCCACGTGTTAGGGCTTCAATTTGAGATATTTAGATATTTGATTTTGGTATTTTATTTAAACTTGTGTTATTTGATATTTTTAAATTATACCCCGGGGTAGAAATGTCTTTTTCCAAATTCAAAGAGGTGGGATGTTTCATTTCCAAGGCGGGAGATTGTATGGTTTTAACGCGATAGGCCACATGCTATAGCTATTGCTCTTGTTCCCAAAAGGGTTGAAACCATCACTCAGAAGAGCAAGCTGAACATTCCTAGGGTCTGCTGCAAACCAACTATGATCCTCATCGAATCGTTTCCAAGTTTTTGCATCAGCAGGATGCCTTAACGTATCATCATCGACACGCAAGTCCTTGTCCCACCTCATGTCTTTAGCATCTTCCTTAGTCATGTACAAAGCAATCAAAATCGAGATTTTACCTAAAATTGAAAACTGAGGTGAAATCGGAATCCTAAAATCGAATCGTAGGATTTTAAGTTCCATATGGAAACTAACATATAATCATTTAATAACACAAAGACACAACATTTAAAATGATAATTCTCAAGATTAATGTTCCAGAATCATCATTTTAATTGTTATTTAATGCATAACTCAAAATAATTCAAGAGGAAAGGATAGAGCTCATGAGGCTTAACTCTTGTTTTCATGTTGTGTCTAGGTAGCTTAACTCAAATTAGTATTTCGGCCTGGTTAATTTTAACATTGTCTGCTAATCATGAATTTTTTGGTGAAATGCTAATACTGATTTAAAACTAAGAATAAAAAAAGCTCCAATAGAATAAGTAATGCTAGTGCTTGATAAAAATATAATCATTAATCAATTAATTAGTTAATAATGATGTTAATTCTTGTGTACGTACAATATTAGGACAACTATTTTACTGATTAGTTCAACCAGGCGAAGGGAAAGGGATTAACTGAGCCCTAATTTGATTATTTTGTTCTTTTTAAATTTTTTTTAATGAAAAATATTTGAGAAGATGCCTACCATTTCCCTTTCCGTCGAAGCAGTTTCGCTTTTTAAATTTGCTCAAACCGCCCATTTTGTTCTCATACGATTTAAATCCCGATTTTGGTATGATTTTACGATTTTAACGATTTTAATCCCGATTTTAAACAATTTTAAGGTCCACCGATTTTATAGTAAAATCAGGATCGGAATCCCTAAGTAAAATCAAAAAGTCCTACGATTTTACGATCAAAATCCCGATTTTGACTACTTTGGTTATGTACAATCTTTAAAGTCTCTTTAAGTGGGAAATACCTAGCTTTCTTTTTGGCTACATTCTTTTTTCCCCATGTATGTATCTAGGCTCATTGCATTTGGTGCATGACTTGGCAGATTCTAGAGGACCTCTATAGAGTACACAATGATTTGGGCAGGCATCTATAGTGGTGTAACCGAACCCAAGATCTTCCATGTACCATTTAACTTGATAGAAGGAAGAAGGAAGAATCTCACCAACAGGTAAAGCTTTCTTGACTAGGTCCAGATTTGTGTTGAAGGCTTTGTCAGTACTGTTGGTTACCATTTTATTATTCAACAACTTCATAACGAATGATAATCTGGAAAAGTTTTTGCATCTAGGGTATAATGGCAAATTGGCATCACGGATTAGCAGAGCCAATTTGTCATGGGGGTCTGTTAGATTAGAATAATTAGGTGTTGTTGACCCCTCAATGGCAGGACCATTTCCAGAAGAAGCACGTAGAAGATTCACTACCATAGCAGCCATGTCATCCTCTAAACCCTCAGTCTCAGCGCAATGGTAGGTTGACTAGGCTTATTACTAGTACTCACAAAGTCAAAAGACTCACCATGATGAATCCATGTAGTATATGTCTCCACCATGCCATTCCTGGTTATATAATCTGCGACAATCTCCAACTTCTTGAAGTTTCGATTATTGCACCTTTTACAAGGGCATCTAGTTCTAACTAGCGTATCAACATGTTTGTTGGTAGCCCTTATGAACTCAGAAACCCCCTTTTGATATTCATCACAAAACCAATCATTAAGATTAATCCAATTTCTACTCATTCAATGTATGCGTAAATAAACTTACCTTCCCTTTATAGACAGTTGGTCAAGATGGAAGCACAATATGAGATGAACTAGAAAAGGATCTGCAGAGGGTATATGACATAACATTAGGACCCAATTCACTTACACGATTGCATTAAAACACAAAATTCAAGACATTATTCTATTCTTACATTTTCCTAGTGCTTGGGGCGCCTTCTCTCTATTCTAATTAGCATAACAGGATGGTTGATGGATCGAAGGTTACAGATATTGCCGCCTTGAACTGCCGCGGTGAATGCTGGATGAGGCGATTGGTGGAACGGCTATGACGGAACCCCCGACGATGAGTGGCCGGCCCGATTGGTGGAAGGACGGGTGGGTAAAGGATCGAGCTATTTCGAATTTTGGTGGTGATTTTTTTGGGTTCTTTTGGATTTTGATCGACTGCTCAATTTGGAGAGACAAGGAAGGAGGATAATGTTTCAATTTTATGAGATTTATTATTCTTTTTGTGATTTATTTTCCCCAGGGAAAGAGGTTTCAGCCTACGTGATTCGGGTCAAAATGTACACATTTTACCCCTCATTTCTTATTCGTTTAGCTTAGTATTTCATCGTTCCTCGACATATTTCATGCTATGTTGTGATTTTTTATACATTTCAGGTCCTAGCATGTGTGGAAGGGTCGAGGACGAGTTTTGGGATAATTGGAGGTGAAAAAGTGCAAAAACCAAAGAAAAGTCCGAAGTACCGTGACAATTGCCCATAACAGTGAAGTGAAGGCGTCCAGGAAACAACCACAGTTCACGGTTGGACAAGGCAGTTCATGGTCTCCTAAGACCGTGAACATCGAGCAGTCCAGCGAGGTTTCAAAGGTTACTGACGCTAATAGAGTTCACGGTCTCTAAGACTTTTGTCATATTATATTACTAATTGTGACAAACGAAAAATGACAAAAAAAAATATTTTGTCCTAATAGGCCAAATTTGTTGTAGTACACTCTACTGAAAGTGATTTCACCGAAAAGCAATATATATATATATCTTAGTATAGGCTCAAGTAGTAAATGAAATATAACATGCATCTACTAGGAAAGAGACAAGATCCGATTAGACAACAACTATGTGCAAAATAATCGATTTCTCAATTAACCCTAGTAGCTCATAAGTTTTATGAAGGTGATGGTTTAAACAGAGGTTAAGGTTAATTTATACAACATAGGTACAAATTGACATATCTTTACAATTTACAAGCCCATAATTGAAATATTTTTGGTATCGAAGCATCATAGCTTCGTGACATTTTTCTTTCAACGACATAATAGTTATGGAAAATGAAACATTACCGGAAACAATGAAGAAATTTAAAAAAACTACACAAAAAATATTGGATCTTTCCAGTCCCTCTATCAAGAATCAAACCAACCAGAAGCAGGAAAGTTGCAGAACGCCATAACCGGGAATCTTGAATGATAAGATAACCTCTTCATTTCCCCGCCTTGTGGTGGATATGATATTGCTATGTTAAATAGCATATTTTATATAATATTAATAATAAAATGTTACTTATTATTATTGTCATTATTGAGTTAGAGGGACACATTCAAGCTCAATCTCAAGCACTCCCCTCTCAACATTCTGCAGCCTTAGACTGATTTCTTGCTTAACTTTACCATCTATTAAGGAGATAACCCCATCTTTGACTAGTGTGTTGTCTCTGCTTGCCACCCACTTCCCTAGTTGTGTTGATTCGTTTATCGAGGATGTCTCATATGCCCTTGCAGCAGAAACCAGAGGTTGAATGTCAATCTCTGCTTCTCCCATAAAATCATCCGTGGAGAAAGTGTCCTTATCATAAACAAGCTGCCCACATAAACATCGTCTCTCCACGTATAAGGCGTCTTTGTATGAGGTTGACTTTTGAAGAGAGTGAGGCAATAAAGCTCTCAAGATAAAAACCTTACCACTTTGAGGGGAGGGATGTGATCTGGGATTGACAACATAAGGCTTTCATTCCACACAGGATTGAGGTTATTCTTTATGACTCGAGTCCTCACCGACTGCAACAACATGATAAATGTCTTGTTTCCTTGTTTTCATTTGAGCTTGAAACAAAATTTAGATCGAAATCAAAGGAGGTGGAAAGAAGATACTCACTTGATGACCTAATGCAAGGATGACGTAAGGATCACTTGTTACCATATCGCGGATTGCCAGATTGGTTCCTTTTACTACATTCACCTTAATCAAGCCAACAAATTCGACCATTCCTGCCTATTGCCGCCAAATGTTGAGAAACCAAACAAGGCAAGAAAAAAGTGAAATTTATGATAAAGAAATTGAAAATTGGTCATACAATTTTGAATACGTACAAGTTTTAAATGACAAATATATAAATGGAGCTTCATATGCATGAGATAGAGACAACATGAGTTCAAAATAAATCTTTTAGTGCAAGGATTACCAAACAAATGCTTTTCTTGGTTTGCTTTTGCTCTGCATCTTTTCTTCCCCAGCTGTTTCTCAATGCACTCCCAATTCGATGTCTAGTTGTTTGTTTTTCATAATGTCTCTTCTCTTGAGAATTTACTCTATTGGGATTATAGGGGCATGTCATGTGTTCGTTGAAGTCTGTAAACTCTAGCATCTCATATTTTCTCCTGAAGCAAATCAACAATAAGGAAATAATTTATTATTAACTCAAGAATAGATTCAAAATCTTAATATTGTAAGCAAAAATGATATCGCTTACCGAATGAATTCCGCTCTCTCCTCTATAGGAGCATCTGATTTTGGTTTTTTACAATCTTCTGGCACACAAGCTTCCAATTTCTTGTTTACAACTATATTCCCGCCCATCTCCATGAAAGCAGTGACCTGATCATCTGTCCATTCATCCAACTTGACTGATAAAACCTAGCATAACCAGTGCAGAAAACAAGCAGTTCATGAATCATTCATCAATCCACCTGATAAGTACAACCATGCACTCGATTATCTAGACTATAGTTGTCATAAATTTCACTGCAACCTATCCACATCTTAAGGAATCAGTTAAATAAGTCCAAAACAATATTATTTGCAAAGTATCGTTAACAAAGAATATTATATCCAAACCTTTGATATATGTACTCCGAGGCTTCGATGGACACCAGAACACTTGATACAAATAAAAACTCCATGACTGATAGATCTGTTAGGGAGAGAAACTTTCAGTTCAAGGAAGGCAGTCCAGAAATCATAAAAAGCAAGTCAAAATTTTGTCCAGTTCTTTGCTACTTACACCCATTTTGGATCTGTAGATCCACAATCTGCACAGTGCTTGTTGCAGGATTGACTTAGTAGTTTCTCCAACCTTTTCTGCGCACCTGATTAATGAAGAAAACGTGGTCAACCAAATCGCAAAAATAATTAAATAAAGCAGTTGTATAATGAGTTAATCTTTCAATCTTGATATGTCAGTATCTTTGACGAGTTCATTACATACCAGAAGCTTTTCGGCGATCCTTTTTGCTCTTGGTGTGTACTTCAGCATGTAAGAGATCATGAAGACTAGTTTGGGGTAGTGGGCTAACTGGCGGTTGTGGTTGTTGTTGTGGGTGTGGTTGTGGTTGTGGGCTTGATGGCGGCTGCCGGCTACATGGTGGTGGTTGGAGGTTGGCAAGTTGAACTTCAAAGTGGACAGTGGGTTGTGGGTTAGTCGGTGGTAACTGTCGTCCGGTAGGTGAAGGTTGTAAGTTACCTTGTGGTAGTTGTAGGTTAGCTGGCGATGCTTGTGGAACAACTGATGTTAAATGTAAGTCACCTGGTGATAATTGTGGGGTAGATGGTGGAAATTGTTGACTTGCTGATGACATGCTCCCTGAATTTTGATGTTGGCTTTCAATTGCTCGTCGACTAGTCTGTGGATGTTGTTGGATAGCTGGCACTGAAGGCGTTTGATGGTTAATCGATGATTCTCGACCCGCGAATGATGGTTGGTGATTTTCTGAAGTTTGTCGGCTAGTTGATGATGGCTGATTTCTAGCTGACACACCCATCTGAGTTTTTCTTGGAACTTCTAGGTTAGTAAGTGATGATCGGTTTGCATCTAATGGTTGTTGGCCAGGGATAGGGCGTTTGTTACTTGCCGACAGCTGTTTGGCCGATAATGGTTCATGAGTAGTTGATGAATCTAGGCTACTAGGTGGGAGTTGAAATGTAACTGATGGTCTTTTATGGTTGTTCAATATTTGTTGTTGGGTTGTTGGATGTTCCAGGTTAGATGGTGGATAATGGATTCCAGTTGACGGTTGATGGCTAGCGGATGCATGTAAGCCATCCTGTAGATGTTCTTGGCTAGTAGATGCCAACTTCGGTGCAAGAAATGAAGGATGATGATGGGTATCATGTAGTGATTGATGATGACAATCAGATGGTCGTGCACTACTAGGGGATAGCTGCGGGCCATCTGATTGCAGCATATTGCTAACAGTTGGTTGTTCCAAGCTAGCTGGTTCTAGTTGATTATAACCAACAAACTGCTGTTCTAAGCTATCCGGTGGAGACTGTTGAAGGGTTGGTATTTGGAAGCTAGTTGATGATGGTTCTAGCCTATCCAGTGGTAGTTGTTGGTTTGGTGCTAATGGAGCTTCCTGGCTATTCGGTGGCGCTTGTAAACTTTCTGTCAGCATTTGTGAGCTAGAAGCATGCATTTGAAGGCAAGCCACCTGTGTGTTTAGGCTGGGAGACAATTCTAGGCCACTTTGTGGTTTTACCCCAGATGGGTGTCCTGTAGAAATTTAGTGCAGCTAATCAAATTTGTTTTTTTTTTTATAATAGTGCACTGGATCAATAATAAAAATAATGTGTGAAGTTAATAGAGACCTTCCAAGTAAATGCAGATGCAACAACTAGTAGAAGCATATGATAATAGGTATTGCAATATGATTCACCAATGTTTTATTAGGATTACCATAATTAATTTATAAATGGCTTGACATGCCATTATTGTCTTCTCAAACCTCATAAAACCAAATCAACGTAATTGACATCCCTCACTTGATTACACATAGAATACACAATTTAACCCTCAAAAGGAATCTTATCCCACACAAAGTTCTTATGTTCTACCCTAAAAACATATATGTTGGGTGAGGATTTATTAATTATATTATGCACAATTTAAAAAATTTCTAGCCCACATGTGATGATCGTTTCCATAAACTTCAATGAAACAAACTGATACAAACTTTACATTCCAAGTTGCATATACAACAACGCTCAAAGCATCTTTATAAGATGTAAAGGAATCTACATTCCTTCATTCGTCACCATAACCTTGTTTGCCATCTAAAACAAAACGGTCAAGAAGGCGGGGCTCAAGTGGGAGAAGGGATAAAAAAACAAGATTGAAGATGACGTTTGTTTGCAAGAAGACTAACCTGGTTGAATAGGAGCATGACCACCATGATTGTACGGTCCCGAAGACATGTTCAGCCTTCAAAATAGTTTTAAAGCCCTATCGAAAGGGAAAACAAATGTTGATCTGGTTGTAGTTACAATCTCATAACATCCATTTTTTAGCTCCTCTTACTTGAACAAATCATGTAAATCTAGATTCAACAAGATCTCCATAGGCAAGCCAATAATAATCATAGGAAGGAAAATGTTTGCAGCTCTCTATACCCGAAATTAAAATCTCCTTCAACAGGTTCCCCAACGTAATAAGAGTATTAACACCCTGCAACACAATAAACAAGGGAGGGAATGGGTGTAAACCTGTCAAACGTATATTGTCAAACGACACACCGACGTCTTAGTAATTAAGGAATTCGGTAAGGGTTCCCACCAAAATCCCGTTCTTCCAGAAAATGTTGGATGATGTGCAGCCAAAACTGTTTGGACAATTGCATATAACAATTGATTGGACAAAGCAGAATTGTTTGTTATTTCTTTCTTTCTACCTCCGAGGAATGACAATGTAGACTTCAAACAGGATGAAGGAGAGCAAAATTGATGGATACAATTGCAAAAATGAGGAAAATGAATCTCTCATTTTTTGGCAGCAAAATGTCGACAAAAAATTAAAGACTCCTTTTGAAAGACATGAAATAACCAATGATTAGAAAAAGACAGGAGGAAATTCATTTTTTCATATTGGTCATTGGTGAACTCAGACCATCTACATCTCGTAAATCATTAAGAAACAGGATCAAATCTTTGACGTCTTTAGCCTTTCCCATCCAAACCTTTTGTTATGTATTAATTTTCATTAAATAATTGATATGATAAAGACAAAGTAAGTGGTATGATGAGGTGGAAAAATAAATATATTTAATGTACAACTTTAAGTTGTACCATAATGTTAAATGTATAAGTTCAGGTTGTACCATAAAAGAATTTGTAACCTTATGTTATGGTATAAGTTCACAACTTGAAAGTTATATTATCACATAAAGATACAAGTTCAAGTTATACCATAAAATAATTTGTACAAAAGAGTATAGGTACAATCTGAAGTTGTACCATAACATTAAATGTATAACTTCAAGCTGTACAATAAAAGTAAAAACTTATAGCACCAATGCTATATAGCATTGTAGAATTCTTCTTAAGAAACTACCCATACAGGCGTAGTACCTAAAATATATTTATGTCATTTATTTTTTCTTAACAATATTTTTGACAATCTTATGTTTATGTATAAAAATAGAGTTTAATAAATTATGTTCTCAAAAAATAAAAATCATATTAATATCTGTAAAATTATTAATTAATCATGTTCGTTTTCTTTCTTTTCGTACTATTATTGATTTTTAATTTTTATCTCGTATGTATTTCTCATTTAGAGTTATTTTTTTCTAGTCTTATGAATTGTATGTTCAATTATTAAGCTATATATCTTTTTTATGTGCCATTTTTGTACTATAATTATTGAACATATATTTTTTCGCATCTTGTTTTAATTCGAAAAGTTTTTGAAATTCTCTAGAAATGGACTTTATAATTTCTAGGAAATTTACCTAACTCCTTAATTTATCTTCGATTTCACAAGAAAACTATGTTTTATGTAATACTTATTTTAGAAAGTATATAAAAATTGAAATTTTTTATGAAGGCACAGAGCAAATTTTGTCCTTTGAAATCAACTCCCCAACTTTGCACAATTTTTCATTATTGTGTACTAGTTCCCACCATACCCACTAAAATGGACATGCACGATTCAACGAAGGATAAATAATTTACAAAAAGACCAATAAGAGTAGGATACATTGGTGAGGCAGCATGAATCTTACCAATTATTATTTACCAATAAATTATTTGAAAAAAATGTAAAAAAGCTAATCTGACAGCCAGTCTGTCATTTTGAAAAAAAAATTCTCAAAATACCCATGTTACTCACACGCTCACCAAATAACTCTCCCACTTAGTTTCCATTTTATTTACCACTCAAAAATGCCCAGTAACCATCTCAATATCGTTAGTGAAAATCAAATGAAATTTTAACATTTCAGTATTTTTAAATGTTTCGATAGTTTTGACATTTTTATTTTGCAAATAATAAATGGTTCAACTGTATTACATGATCCACACATCACAAGACACCTCTAACTCAAAATCTTCATCAGCCACCGCAGATGCTACGATAATATTACTAATATAAGGATTACCAAAATTTAAGGTTTTGCTATTTTTTTATTTTGATAGATTCCAATATTATTTTGTGAAAATTTAAAAATTTGATTATTGAAAAGTGGTTATTTCTCGAAAGCTTGTCCATGCCACCTTTCTTTTCCAACAAGATAAAAATTCAATACTAATGATAAGAGAGAGGGAACATCCATGTTAAAAGTAAAAGTAAAATTTATCATGGATTGGAAACGTCCGACGTCCGTGAGTAATGTAATTAATCAATTAGTTAAACATTTAAAATTAAAAAATGGAACCAGCCATGCATCCCATATGCACCAAAACATCATCTACAATCAAATCACCACCAAGTCCATGGGGAAATTCATGGAGCATCTTTTTGAAGTCCTCAAGCTGGAGCATAAAGAAGAATAATTCTCCGATTCTCATATTATGGATTTGAAAAAGGGAGAATTGTTTGGCTATGGAGAATGTGACATGCGTCGCATGGTGAGAGAGAAGTCAAGAGACATCGAAATTGCTATAGAAGAATTCAATCATGCGATTGAGCGCAATTGAAAGCGAAGAAAGCGGAAGGTCGAGAAAAAGGAAGTTGACTGCAACATTGAGGACAAGGTCGCTTTCAAGGAGTGTGGATTGTTAGAAACACACTTTTCATGGATTTCTCTAATTATTTATGGTAGGATAATTATTGTTAGGTTTAGTATTCTTGTAGTCGAATTAGGTTATTATTAGGTTTTCCCAGTATTTCCCTATAAATATGTAATTTGGGTTTCATTATGACCTAATCAAAGATTAATAGAAGAATTATCTCCCAACCCGTTTTCTATTATCTCTCAATCTTTTTTGTCTTTCTTCCCCAAATCCCCAAATTCTTCTCTTAAATTCCTAATTTCTATTCTCAATCTCTAAATCTCATACTATCTATCAAGTTACTATAATCAAAGGCGCCCGTAAGAAAGCGTATTTCTTACAATGCAATCAACCATCTTGCAAAAATACCAAAGCAACAAGCATCATGTAGACACCACTTTTTGTCCAGATAAAACGTAACTAGTTAAGTAAAATTTAATTTTTCAATCTTGAACAATCTTCTAACTGAAGTCGTATTTGTAGTGGTTAAGATGGGTTGTGTTTGCCATAACTTGACGAGATTAAGTAATAGCAAATCTCAATCAATACAATTGATATTGAGAGTTGAGATGTTTTGCTTCAGTTTCACGAATTAGACGATTTGATAGTTTTGTGAGTTGGTCTTTTGATTGGTTATTGAGACTTCGGATCTAGTGAGGATTGTACCTCAACTTCGAAACAATGGAAGAGATAAATTAAGAAAAATAAATAAGCATCTTATTAAATTAAATTGTAATTAAATCAAACATAAATAAAAATTACAATCACAATGTTATTCCATAATAATTCACAATAATTGCTAAATAACTATTACATTAAATTACATAACAGAAGTCAATAGAAGAAATTAGGCTAAAATTATAGCCCAAAGTCAAAGTCAACCATTAGTCAACCAGTCAATATGGTCAACCCGGTTGGTCTGACCAATCCCAAACCGGTCTGACCCAAACTGTTGATGTTGCAAGCTTGAGGAACAAGTTTCCCTTACCTATAAAAAATCTGCTCCTTCTTCAAACTTCAAAGGGGACTCGGGGGGGAAAAATAGAGGAAGACTTCCTTTCCCACTCTGGATAGACAGACCACCAACAGACAACATCTTCCTCTTTCCTTCTTCCTCCCCACGAGAACAAAAAAAGGGACAGCTGCTCTTCTTCCTTTTCCCCAAGCTTCCTGCCGAGAAGATTCAGTTCTTCTTCTTCCTCTTTTTCTCCAGAACAACACAAGAAAAAAAACCAATCCTTCCGCTTCCTCAAACAGACTCGACAAAGACAGAAGCAATACTTCCACTCCTGTTTTCTTCTTTCTGTAGCCACAAATACAGACACCAACAAAAACAGAAAAAAAAAAAAAACAAGGAAAGAAAAGACAGCAAAGTGAGATAAAGAACATAAACTTAGAAGATTCAATATCTTCCTCTTTTCTTCTTCAAAACATATACAAACACCGCATCACCAAAGACCATAATCACAAGCATAAAGACAGAGAAAAGAAGGAGGCAACATGAGACGGTAAAGGCAGCAGCAGAAGCTCCCACACTAGTTGGAACGAGGAAGGCAGGATCATCCCCACACTTCATACAATAAAGGTTGGTAATCATCCAATCTAGTCATTATTCATAATCACCTCATCTTCCTACCATGTGAAGCTTTACACAAACAAATCAACTAACTCCAAGCAATTACCAGCAGATTGATTTTTGCTTAAGAGAGGAATCTTAATCTACTACCAAGCAAACTACAAGATGGTAGTAATTTTAATAAACCAAAAGTCATGTCTGTAGTCCTTTACTCTTACCATTTAAAGCTTTCTTATGTTAAGCATGAAGCATAGTAGAGAATAACATATTTGTTTCCTTTATTTTACTTTCACTTAATTAAGTTTACTGATCTTTCCATCTAGTATAAAGCCAAAACCCACCTCCAAGCTCAAGCATCCAAACCAACAAATAGAATAAAACGACACAAGGCTCCTAATAATCTCAAGCAATAACAGTGATTTTAGGTTTGCTATCATGTCTTTTTACTACCATCATTTTAACACTATCAGGTTTTTCAAATTACCACACTAACACAACCAAACCATTCCAAACTACGTTAAACACAAACTCGATACAAAACTAAAGCTTTAATCATCAGTCACATAATTCCAGATTACTAAAACTCCCCTATATATGCATAGAGAACCAGATTATTTCAAAAACACAGTCAATTTCTCTAAACATATCATTTTCATTTCACAATAACGAAACCCATTTTCAAGAATTCCTTTTCAATTCGATTCGAGGATATCACCTATTTTTTGGAGTAAAGACCTGCCAAAAAATGCAAATCTGATAAGAATCAAAATCCCAAACCCACATCTTTCCTTACCCTCTACATCTCGGTCGACGGCAAACTGAGATTTTTTGAAAACCATAATACCTACCTTGTGCTTGTCTATCCCTCGTCACTGAAGTCACCGCCGGTTGCTGCGGGTCGGCGGCGGCATCTCTCCTCTTCTCGCTGGCGAGCCACTTCCCTTCCTCCCCCCTCCTTGGAAACCATAACAAAAAAGGATCATCATATCGAATAAAAAGAGATCCAGAAACAAACAAAAAGCTACTTAAATCTTACCAAAAATTAAGTCCCTCGGCACCATCGCCGGTTGAATAAAAATCCACCGGTAACCGACTTCCGATCCTTTCCTCTCTCGCCGCAAACAGAACCCAGAAAACATAAGCGAGTTAGAGTCCCTTCTAATACCCGGAGACCAAAATCCAACCTCAAAAACCAGACATGCAAACCCAAAAACACTTACCCCTGACCTTCGCCACCGTTGTCCTCAACGTCGTCGGCGTTAACCACCTTCGTTGCCACCGTTTTCAATCGCCGGCGATCCTTTCTTCTCGTTATTATCAGAAAGGGAGAGAGAAGGAAAGAGCAGATCGGCGTTGGGGAAGAATAGAGGCCGATCGAGATGGGCGATGATTAGAAGATCGGGAGAGAGAGAGAGAGAGAGAGGTTGGATGGATTTCCTCTGCTTCCTTTCTTTTTCGTTGGTTTCCAGACAGAAAGCAGAGAAAACGAAGGGAGAGAAGGGTAGTGCGGCTAGGGTTTGCCTCCAAACCTTTATTTTTCGTATTATAAACTCAATCTCCCTTAATGACCAATTTACCCCTTCAGCTTCATCAAAACTACTCCATCACCACCTCAAAAAACGAAATAAAAAATAATGTTGTTCAGTGAGACTTTGATCTCGACTATTCGGGTACGTAGGCAACCAAATAGGTTTTAAGTCCAACGAATCGAAAATTTTCTCCACATCTCAACGTGCGAGACTCAACATTTAAAACTCTCAATTAAATCGAACTATGTGGACTTTGATCCCGACTACTCGGGTACGTAGGCAACCAATAGGTTCGAGTCCAACTAATCAAAAACTCTTTCTTTAATTTTTGAGAATTACATTAATAGACCGCATAATCATACCTTGATAATAATTATCTAATTAATCGAATCATAAAATTAAATACGTAAATAAGGCGCAAATAATAATACACCCAACTCTTAAAAACTTATCGATTTAAGTAATATCCATCTTGGGGCGTTGTGGGGTGTGAATACACTTCCCCACACGTAACCGTACTCACGCACCTAGAATCCTAAATTTCGCAGACCAGAACCTGGTTTTGACCCTAAGGTCGAGACCGGGCCAAAAGGTGTTCGACCCACCACATCTAAGGTCGATGGCGACTCCGAACCGATCTCGCAAGCGATACCCCGGTCCGGAGGGGCGGTTGCGACACATCATATGTGAAAATACGTATTAGACAAAGCTCATTGGGGAGATAATTAACTCCCACGCACTTAATTTCCAACAAAGGCAACATGCCTACATGGGCATTTCACAAGGCTAGATGACCAACATTGAAGCACAATCATCCCAAAAAGCACACTGAGGCATGAAACTAGGTGTTTCATAGATCACAAAGGTTGGAAATGAAAGCCTATATCATGCCTCAATGACCACCATTCAACATGCATAAAAGTGTTTAAAGCTAATCATTTAAGCATATACTTGGTGAGCATATGACAATCCAAACATCATAACATGCAAAATAGTGCCCAGAAAGGCACAAACACCCCCTCCATAATTGACTAAGTAAAAGTTCAACACACACCTGGATACACAAGTACGATCGAAGAGGAAGGTGAGGAGAAGGCGGGGAAGTCAAAATTCGACTGGAATAGTGACAAGAGAAGGTCGTCGAAGCTTCGCCAAAAGCTCGTCGAGAAGTAGCCAACGACAAGACTGAGCCCAAAACTTCCCAAGAAAGGGAATGTGTTTGGTTTTTGGAATGTGTGTCTAGAAGTTGAGGAGATTGTGTGAGGTGGCTTGAGGATTCTGGTGATGCAATGTTCACATTTGAGCAAACATCACATCCCTTTTATACTACCTAACGGTCAAGATCACAGGTTTGGTATTGATTTCACGATCTCACCATGATCCTAACACTTAAACCGTGACCTCAGCTAAAGACCATGAGTTTTTTTGCCGCCCTTTTTCCGTTTGACTTTCAATCCCGGAGTTAATTTCACCTGTTGAGATCTAAACCATGCTAAAACATGCACAAATCTAGCGTAAAATTGCTCGGGGAGTGATGCAAATGCCACAAACATCATAAGATACAGGGATACAAACATTTGCAATTACACACGAATAAGGAGGCTAGGAAAATTCATCCTAGTATGAGGGGCTTTGTCGGTATCCTCACTAATATCAAAGATGACAAAATCTGTTGGATATTAAAACATGCCCACTTGAACTAGGACATCCTCTAGTATGCCTCTCGGGCAAATCATAGAACTAGTTTTCAATTCACCTAGGTCTAATTTTTGGCAGAGCTTGAAAGGCATGACATTAATGTGAGCTCCTAAGTCCGTCAAGGACTTTTCTATATGAAATGTTCAAATGCAAAGAGGGAAAGTAAAGCTATCTAGATCTTGTAGTTTTTAAGGCATCTTATTTTGGATGATTGCTGAGCACCCCTCAATCAGGATTACTGATGCGAGGTCTTCATATTTCCTCTTCTTAGAGAGAATCCTTTTGAGAATCCTTGAATACCTTGGAATTTGTGCCATTTCTTCCAAGAAAGTAACTAACACGTTGAGCTTCTTTAGCATATCCATGAATTTACCAAATTCCGCCTCCAAACTGCCCTTGTGGGGAAAGAAAGTGGAGGCTTGCACTCAGCCACAGAGTGGCGTCGGTGGTGCCTTTCTAGCCTCCTCATTCTTTCCCTTCATAGGATCTTATTCATTGACCATTGGAGGGTCTTCTTCTTCTTGAATCACTTCCTTTCTTGCAACATCTTGAGTTACCTTCCTACTTCTTAGCGAAATTGCATGCACCCCCACTTTTGGATCTTTGGGGTTAGTAACGGGTTGTGAATTTAGAGCACTTTATGGTTGCTGCTTGTGTGAAAAACTCTGACTAGACATCCTCTGTGACGCTCGTACCATCCTCCTCTAGCTAGCTTCACTCGAACTGTTTCTCTCGATCCCGCTGCTCTCTAACTGCTCCTCTAGCTTCTTCCTCTTCAAACTAGTGAGTGAGTTGGGGTCAGTCTACGCCCTTACGATTGAAATCTCTAATACTTTAGTATTCTTCTCTAAACACTTAACTTCTACTAGGGGAAGTCGTTTTGTACTTCCATTCTTAACAATCTCAACTCATAAAATTCTTCGGGAGTTAAAGTTACTCTCCCTTCATAAAGCTCAAAACTTGACTTAAATCTTTTGACTGACACGGGGATCCCTCACTAGCTAGTCCGGTTGCCAACTCATACGTATGAGAAGCCATCCAGGCTTTCCTTAAACTTAAACTTAGTTAGGGGAGTCGTAACGATTCATCCCCCTAACATCTTAAACTTATCGTGGTGGCTCTTCACCACGATTCTCAAGAGCATAACTGCTGCTCATCTTGAAAGTCTCAAGAGCATAACTGCTGCTCTGTCTCAAAGATCTCAAGAGCATAACTGCTGCTCTATCTGAAAATCTCAAATGGCAACGGACTGGCGCTAGTGACTAAAAACACTTAAAACGACTTCACCTTCTTGAAGGTGAGTTACTTCTTAAAAAGACCTTGTTTCTTAAACTTTAACAATAACTTATACTCATAAAATTTTCAAGGTAAATAATAACCATTCACTTCAAGTCATAAGTCAAACAAGGCACATATCATCAACCATAATCATAAGCAAGCACACAATTTCACATAAAACAACTTCTTAAACACGCAAGGCAGATACTTGAAAAATACTTAAGGCGTAGAATTTACCCCCTTTACACTCACCTTACTTCTGTCGGAACTGGCTCTGATTTTGCTTCCAATGATTTCATACTCGCTTCCAAAATAATAGTACACTCCTACTTGCTTGAATAAAATGGAGCAGCTTGCTTAACAATGGACCAGCTTGCTTCGGTGGAGATGGCAATAACAACGGACCAGCTTGCTTAACAATGGACGAGCTTGCTTAAACTACGAGGGTTGTCCATCGCTTTGCCGACGAAGCTCTTAAGGCTTGCTTAGCAGCGAGGGAGGGCTTCCCATCGCAAATTGCAGGCAGAGATCCCGCGCTTGACAATGGACGAGAGGGTTGTCCATCGCTTTGCTGACGAAGATCTTAAGGCTTGCTTAGCAGCGAGGGAGGGCTTCCCATCGCAAATTGCAGGCAGAGATCCCGCGCTTGACAATGGACGAGAGGGCTGCCCATCGCTTCGCATCCGATGACCCCGCTCGCCCCCGAGCCGCTTTCTTTGATGACGAATCCCACCGCAACCTCCTGCCTGTTTGAGTAGCTTGCTTAACCAAGCAGCTCATGTAGTAGAGAGAGTGCCTTGCCGATGGCGAATCCCACCGCAACCTCCTGCCTGTTTCTGTTTGAGGAGCTTGCTTAACCAAGAAACTCTCATAGTAAGGAGAGGCCTCCACCAGTGTGCCCATCCGTTCCAGCTACTTGCTCAAGCAGGCAGGTCTCATCGTAGAGACGAGCAGAGGCGGTATAACAAGGAGAGCGGCTTGCTTTGATTTCCCCAGCGTCGGTTTTCGGTAGAGAAGGAAATATTAGGGCAGGCAAGTCTCATAGTAGAGACAAGCAGAGGCGGTGTAACAAGGAGAGCGGCTTGCTTTGATTTCCCCAGCCGCTGAGACCAAGTTGTTTTCGGTAGAGAAGGAAATATTAGGGTTATAGGGTGAGGTCGAGTAGAGTATAGGGTTTAATTAGTTGCAGGGTATTTTGGGAATCTCACAATTACGTATGAGTTTAGTCCGAAACTCAATTAATGTCCGTAACTTTCTCATTTTATGTCGAAATTCGACACCGCTTGAACCGATAGTTTCCATTTTTAATCCTCATTGACAATACGGTGGAACTTGACCCAAGGATATAATAGTAATTTTGACTTTTGGGAAAAGCGGAGTGTAACATTTCCTCCACCCTTATAAAAATTTCGTCCCTGAAATTTGATCGGGCTCATCCTTTCATACTCCTCATTCTCGTGCTTCTTTGGCTCGAGATTTCACTCTTTCTATATGAACTTCAATGGTGTGCCCTTACCTTGTCTTGAATAGTTTACTATAGTTCTTATATGCACTCTTGACCATAACATGTATTCTCATCTAGCTCGGTAGCATCGAATATGTTCGAGTGACTCATTGCCCTTTTCAAAATTTTCCAACGTGGGCCCATGGTGTGATGGGACCAAATTTTGGCTCAATTTATTTGGTCCAACTGATTCAATACTTGATGTTGAACCTAAGTCGAAGTCGAGGTATCACATTTCCTCCCCACTTATCAAAATTTCGCCCTCGAAGTTTGTCCACTGTGATTACCCTAAGCATCGCTTGTGGTAATCCTTTTCACTTCGCGGATTTTTATTTCCTTTAACTTATACGACATGACCTAAAATCCTTCTCTCCATTCCCTACAACTTTCATGTTGTTGTGGCTTCTTAACCCCTCACATTACCTCGGCTGCACCTTGTACATATATAGGAACGATAACTATCCATTCGGTACATGAGAAGTTAGTGCCCCTCTCCAACCACAAGGTCACTGATAGCGGTTTATCTTCCATCTAGTCAGATGGTAAAACTCTTTTAACGTAACTCTCGTCTAGGGTTGACCTCATAGGTCACCTAGGTCCTTGTATCTCCTAACTTTGCATCCCTTATTTTCCTCCTTGATGCCTCGTCTTATCCTTTAACCATAAACTGAGTGGTCCTCTCCTCGTTACTTCTTGCTTAACTCTAAAACCTCATACTACTGCTTTTACTTTCTGTATGCATTAAAGGCATCCTTTGCATTTCTCTCTAGCTTGCGATCAACCTTATGAATCATTTCAAGAATCATGATATTCCCAATGGCTTACTTGCTCACTCCTGGCGCCTAACTTAGTACTTCCTTATAGATGCTTGAATGTGATGTTCTCGTAATATTCATTCTGTCACTCTTAGACCCTAGCTAAAACTCCTCGTACGGTTTCCAGTCCAATAAGGTTTTACCCGAGAGATTGACACCTTTCACCAGCATAGGCGATCTTGGTTTTACTTTGGGGTATTCTAGCAGGTTCCCTAAACTTATATCCCTCTTACTTCGTTACTCGTGACTCTTCTTCTTGATGTTCCTTTCTAGGTTTAAGTGTCCCTTGTTCGCGACGTAATCCTCCAGGTTCTTATATCCTCTTCTCGCTTATGTACTTTGGCCTACAAGGTTTTCCCTCCCATTATTCTTGACGACCTTGATTCCACCTTAAAATTGCTCGGAATTTTCTTGATGGACTTCCTATGGATCACTCGTTCTTCGTTGGTAGTCAACTTAATGCTTTCTCGTTGTCTGTTGTACTCCTGCTTCCGCCCGTCTTAACTATCTTCCTTGACGCATGCATCGCCAGGTTGATGCCAACCACTTTTTTTTCTATAACTTCCCATGGTGTTCTTCTTGCTTCTTTACTTTTACTACCACAAAACTACAACTCTTCTGTCGTTGCTTGTACTATATTTGGTCACCAACCTCTATTGAGTATCTTCTCGTTGTTGTTTTAGGTCACAACTTCCAATGGTGGCTTGCCCTTGGTAACCTTTAACATAACTCATTCCATGTCTCTTTTGTTGATCGACCTTGTACATAACCTTAGTCTCTTAGTTAGGGTTCTTAGTGGCTTAACTAAGCGTGCCTGTTTCATCCTTAACTACCTGTCTCCGCTGGAGCCCTCCTACTATGTCGCGCCCACTCAAAGTGGGGCACCTTAGATAAGGTAACTTCTCTTTTTCCTCCTTCTCTGTAATGCTTTTCTTCATCGTACTCCATTATGCATTTTCTTGAACCCGAGTCACCTACACATATTATCAATCCTTCATCGAAATTTTCATGTGCTTCCTCGAATTCTCTGCCATTCACTAGAACATTTATTGAATGTTCCACTTACTTGTCTATACTCGGTTGGCTTAATGGCTTACTCTATAGCTAGTCCCGAGACCTTAGCTCTTAGCCCTCTCGTTCCAACTTAGTAGAGAGGTTATTCCTTCTGTCATCCCTCATGTACCCTAGGCGGCTAGGTGCTCCCTCCATTTAGGATAGGACTATCCCATAACAGGCCATCACGAACTCTGCATTCCCCTTTCAACTATCCCAACGACCTCCTGACCTTTCTTGATGTGGGTAGTTTGTAGGGTCTCTGATATCCTCTTTCTAACTCGGTGTTATCTTGTATCCAACTCACGCACTACTGAGAAGTGGTTCTCTATTCGCACTGCCATTTACTAGCTAACTATTATTCTCTCTCACATTTCATGTCTTTTCTTATGTATCGACTCCCCACTATCTTCTACCCGGCATGCTTTAGACTTTGGTGGCACTTTCCTCCACATCTCATCCAATGGTGGTCGTACTGAGACCATAAATTTCCCTCTACATCATTTATCTCGTTGCTTGTTTTGTTCCTTCTAAAGGCTTGTCATCGGCCTAACTCCCCAGGGTTAGGTACCCTCTTCTCCAGTTACGTGGTTTATTTATAAGGGTTCCTTCATCGTCATATGCAGATGACCATGCCTCCCCCCTCCTTAATCTATTGACTTCTTGACGTCCTTTCAGACACCCTATAACCTACTTATTTCCTCCTTTGCTTCCTTTATACTACCCTAGGATTTCTTAAAGTCTAAACATTCCTCTGCTCCTTGTCACTGTGTTGTAATGGCGTTGAGCCATCAATCACAAAAACTAGCTGAGGGACTTCTCGGGGTACCTCTTCGTTTCTTGACCCGTTGCCCACTTTCCACTGCTTAGGACCAAAGACCCTAACATCATCCTATTATCACAGCTACTGGCATCTGGTGATTGTTCCTCTTCCTTTGGAGATTCATATTTCTCCCCTTTGTTTGTCTTAGCTTATTAGATCATCCACTTGTTTCCTAGTAGTAAAATCCTCGTACTACTCTCTCAACTCCTTCAAAATCCTTGAGGTATTCCCTTTCAATTGGCACCTCTTTGCTGATGTTTGGAGTTGACCTCGCACATTTGATTCTACCTCCACAGACCTTTGCAACGTTCCTCCTTCCTCCTCTAGGTTGATGATGATGATCTGTTTGCTAACGTCCGAGTAGTTGGTTAACTAATTGAAAGACTACTATCCATCATGTCGATGAGATACTTGGTCTTGAGAGCCTTTGAGATTCTACTTGGGTTGGTCACGTTCTTTCCTCCTTTCTTTCTTACTGCGATCACTATATGCCTAAATCTCTCATTTGACAAACCACGACATGTTAACTAAATGGCTTACAAGCCTATTCTTAAACAATTTCACCCTGGGCTACCATCCCTTCGTGTCGTGCTGTCATAGTTATTCACCTTAGTATGATTATAGTAGACTGGAGATTCTATAAACTCTTAAAAGAAGATCCTTGACTCGTTTTCCTTTCCTTTAAAACTGAGACCGATATTCCAGTATTCCTTGGAGACCAAGGAACAGAGGAAACCAGGCTCTGATACCAAAATGTAACACCCTAACCCGGTTGGGTACTACTTTTACTAAAATGCCCTTGATAACTAAAATACGCAAATCTTAAATTGCAACTGGGAAAATTTTAATAAATAAAATACTGAAAACACACACTTGTAGTTCAAAGCAAAGCCCTAACATGTGGGCAAATTAAACTCAAACGTTAAAAACTCAACTTGATCTCCAGTCTATACTCATAATCATAAAACATAATAACTAACTAGTCTCAGGTGTTGCTGCTTGTGTGAAAAACTCTGACTAGACATCCACTATGACGCTCGTACCATCCTCCTCTAGCTAGCTTCACTCGAACTGTTTCTCTCGATCCCGCTGCTCTCTAACTGCTCCTCTAGCTTCTTCCTCTTCAAACTAGTGAGTGAGTTGGGGTCAGTTTACGCCCTTACGATTAAAATCTCTAATACTTTAGTATTCTTCTCTAAACACTTAACTTCTACTAGGGGAAGTCGTTTTGTACTTCCATTCTTAACAATCTCAACTCATAAAATTCTTCGGGAGTTAAAGTTACTCTCCCTTCTTAAAGCTCAAAACTTGACTAAAATCTTTTGACTGACACGGGGATCCCTCACTAGCTAGTCCGGTTGCCAACTCATACGTATGAGAAGCCATCCAGGCTTTCCTTAAACTTAAACTTAGTTAGGGGAGTCGTAACGATTCATCCCCCTAACATCTTAAACTTATCGTGGTGGCTCTTCACCACGATTCTCAAGAGCGTAATTGCTGCTCATCTTAAAAGTGTCAAGAGCATAACTGCTGCTCTGTCTCAAAGATCTCAAGAGCATAAATTCTGCTCTATCTGAAAATCTCAAATGGCAACGGACTGGCGCTAGTGACTAAAAACACTTAAAACGACTTCACCTTCTTGAAGTTGAGTTACTTCTTAAAAAGACCTTGTTTCTTAAACTTTAACAATAACTTATACTCATAAAATTTTCAAGGTAAATAATAACCATTCACTTCAAGCCATAAGTCAAACAAGGCACATATCATCAACCATCATCATAAGCAAGCACACAATTTCACATAAAACAACTTCTTAAACACGCAAGGCAGATACTTGAAAAATACGTAAGGCGTAGAATTTACACCATTTACACTCATCTTACTTCTGCCGGAACTGGCTCTGATTTTGCTTCCAGTGATTTCATACTCACTTCCGAAATAACAGTACACTCCTAGTTGCTTGATTAAAATGGAGAAGCTTGCTTAGCAATGAACCAGCTTGCTTCGGTGGAGATGACAATAACAACGGACGAGCTTGCTTAACAACGGACGAGCTTGCTTAAGCTAGCAGCTCTCGCAGTAGGGAGGGCTGTCCCGACGAAGATTTAAGGCTTGCTTAGCAGCTCTCGCAGTAGGGAGGGCTTCCCATCGCAAATTGCAGGCAGTGATCCCGCTCCATCGCTTTGCAGGCGGCAGGGTTTGCTCTCCGACGAATGGACAACTTCGTAGCCGATGATCCCGCTCGCCCCCGAGCCGCTTTCTTTGATGATGAATCCCACCGCAACCTCCTGCCTGTTTGAGGAGCTGCTTGGCAGTAGAGAGAGTGCCTTGCCGCCTGTTTGAGGAGCTGCTTGGTAGGTAGAGAGAGCGCCTTGCCGATGGCGAATCCCACCGCAAGCTTTCTTCGATGACGAATCCCACAGCAACCTCCTGCCTATTTGAGGAGCTTACTTAACCAAGCAGCTCTCGTAGTAGACAGAGTGATTGCACCGCAGCCTCCTGTCTGTTGCTGGTTCAGGAGCAAGCAGCTCTCATAGTAGCGAGAGGCCTCCAGCTACTTGCTCAAGCAGGCAGGTCTCGTAGCGGAGGCGGTGTGACAAGAAGAGCGACTTGCTTTGATTTCCCCCAGCCGCCGAGATCAAGTTGTTTTCGGTAGAGAAGGAAATATTAGCGTTCTAGGGTTTAATTAGTTGCAGGGTATTTTGGGAATCTCACAATTTTAGTCCGAAACTCAATTAACGTCCGTAACTTTCTCATTTTATGTCGAAATTCGACACCGCTTGAACCGATAGTTCCCATTTTTAATCCTCATCGACAATACGGTGGAACTTGACCCAAGGGTATAATAGTCATTTTGACTTTTGGGAAAAGCGGGGTGTAACAATTACCCATACTTACCATATCCTACACCACTCTATAGGTTGCACTTGGCCTATAGTTGGGATTTAGTGTAATGGTAGCCGAGTCAGGCCTTGGTTGAGAAAATGGACGTCTTGGTTGATAACCGGCAGGTGGTCTTGGATTAGTTGGTGATGATCAAGAAAAATTTGGATCGTTGCGCCAACCCAGATTGTACGTATTGCTATAGGGATTGTTTTATTGTTGGAATCCACAGCATTAACAATGAAATGAACTTGCTCTATCAGAGTGGTTACCTCCATCATAATTTGACATTTTCCAACACATGATTGGGGCTTGAATATCATTCACAAATCATTACCAAACTCTTGCCTTGATTTGTATCCTTCACCAATACCTTGATCAACCCATCTATTTTCACTTCAAGAGAAGGATTTGCTTTGGTGGAATACACTCCTTTATCAAGAATCTTCATTCCTTGCCTTGTCATACCCCAATCATAGCCCTTTGTGGCCATTTCTTCAAACAATTCCATTATTTGAGGTGGAGTCTTGGTAAGCTTATTCCTTTGGCACAAGGAATCAATGAGCATCCCGTCCTCTAGAAAGAGACCATTGTAGAAAGTTTCAATCCTAAAATCCTCACCAAAACCGTGGTGTGGCCACTGTAGAAAGAGATCGGAGTAGTGCTGCCAATTATCTCTCAAAGTCTCGTCATCTTTTTGAGAAAAATGGGTGATCTTTCATAACTTCGTCGTCTTGAAAGGCTGAAAATTTCTTGCCATGAACTCAGTCAAGAAGTCATCCCAAGATGTGATTGATAGTGAAGGTCTATTGTTCAACCAACTTTGTGTCTTGCCGCTTGAGGAGCATGGAAAGATCCCCAACCTAAGAGCTTCTTGTGGCACTCCATTTATCTTGAAACCATCCGAAAACTCATAGAACCTATTGATGTGTTCTCTTAGGGACACATCTTCTAGAACATGAAATTGGATGTAGCTTTGGATTGTGATGATGAGATCAGTCTTGATCTCAAAATTGTTAGCCGCCATGGGCGGATATCGGATACAAAGTTGGATGTTGGTCACCCGTGGGGACATATAGTACCCCCACAGTCCTTGCTTCATCCCCATCTTGTGAAGCTTTATTCGTCGTCACAAGTTCTTCTTCAACTACAACTTCCTCTTCAAATTCAAATTCAACTTCGGGTTCAATGTGAGGTTGAGCACGACCTACAAGCCTTTATCTTGCTTCATTTAACTCCCTCCCTCGAGCAATTATCCGGAGAGTGCGATTGATCTTTTTCTATATCAGCCAAGGGTGCCAGATTGCCTTGGATTATACACCCCATGTACACACTCCCAACAACACACACAAGAGCTAAAACAAGCAAGATCCAAACTCGCAAAGCAAGAAAAGAAATTCTAGATTAACAATAGCTCACTTTTTTTTGAATAATAGAACGTGTTTCCCCAGCAACGGAGCCAGAAAACTTGGCTCGCTACTTAGTACTCAATCTCAATCATAGGCCAAGTATAACCTATAACTGCGTGCAGTATATAGCAAGTATTTCAATTATCAAACCCGAGTGATCTATATATCCTTACTTTAGCAATGTACAAGTTATCGAGCAATCAAAAGGTTGTTTAAAGCTATTTAACTAATCAAGCAAGCAATTAAACCGATGTTAAATTCAAGTGAGAAAACTTCACTTGGATAATTATCCCCTTATTCCCGTGTAGAGATGAGAATGCGATACTCTAGTATGATAGGCAAGTTCATATACCGTTCGGAGATCTAAAATAGCTAGGACCTCATATACGAGTGCATACTAGCCCGCTTAATTGGTCTGATCGGAGGGGCGTAACACACTACCTCAAAGGATGACTAAGGAAAACAATTTCACTCCCTCGCTCGGAGATTAACCCAAGACAGTAAAGAGTCACCAATCACAATGATACATGGCATTCTACATTGATTGAGCAGTGACCCTAATTTCCATAAGGGGATCTTCTCCTCCTCGGTCAATTTGCCCCAAAATTGAGGGATTTGATCAAGAACATTTAATTTGCATGAAAAATACCTCAATCAATATTTAATCAACAATACCCATAGCACAAAGAGTTCACACACATCAATCTACAACATCCTAGACTAGGGTTCACATCATCGAAGTGAAAAGAGGAACTACTCCATAGCTAGAGAAGAAACAACAACTAGAATACAAGAAAACCCCTATGGAAACTTGATTCTTCTTATTCCTAGTTGCTTGGATGGATGATAGGAGATAAAATCTAGACTCTAAATGGCTTGGATAGGTCAAATCCACCTTCAATTCTCTTTTGCTCGTAGCTCTCACTAGGTTGTGGAAGAAGAACTCATCTCTCTCTGTGTAGAACTCACCCTTGAAATTTTTCTTCATCTTCTTTATATAGCATGTGAGTACACGTTTCAAGATTGCATATTGATGACACCTAAAATATACATGTTTCACCAACACATTTATATACTAAAATGATCTAAATTGTACCAAGTTCATTCGATTTTCTAGTTTTACGCTTGGTGTTGTGTGTTTTGAAGTTTTAGGGCCATGTGGGAGAAAATGAATCAATTTTTCCCAAAGCATGATTTAAAAAGAAAAATTATGGTCGGACCCTGTAAAGAGAGCAATTACGGACGTATGTATTGAGGGAAGAAATCCTTGAGCATATTTGTCCCAACGAATCCAACCACTACGTATGGATGGACCGAAGCAAGCAAGCTGGCTGGTGAAGCCTTTGTGTGTGTCAAGCAAGCTGCTCCACCCCATCAGTATCAATTCAATTTGAGAAACTTGCTCCACAATAATGGACCAAATCAAGCTAGTCCATTTGATTCCATTTCCGCCTCCATTTACGCCTTTGTGTATGTCAAGCAAGCTGGCTGGTGACGCCTTTGTGTGTGTCAAGCAAGCTGCTCCAACAACTGAGAGCGTCAAATTGGGAAATTGATAACCCCTTTCGATATCGCCAATAATCGCTCGCAAGGTCTGGCCCGATCCATGCGAAAAAAGAAGAGCAGAGACAACACTCACGGGCCCAGGAACAAGTCTGTTCTCATTTTTTGTCTTACCCCATGGAAAATAGAGTTATTGACGTCATTGGTTCATATAGAATCCATGTCCTATACGAAATTAAATCCCTGTCATTGGGATTTAATTTCGTATAGCTGTCAAAACCCAGAGCTAATTCAATAAATGAAAGACAAAAGGAATGAGAAGGGCATATCTCTTCCGTGCGTCTTTCTCGTAGCGGAAACAGAACAACAGGGAAAGCTAAATTTTGATTAATCCGTATTTCGACAAGCCAAGCCTCAATATATCATTATCCTTTGCCACGTTCACTAAAATAGATGGGAGGTAGGGAAGGTAACTTGCTTCCTATGGTCGGTATTGAGATTTAGAATTCTATCTGTGGCCACCACTGTTTTAGCGGTCTGCCTATCCCCAAGAAGCTTCACCAGCCAGCTTGCTTGACACACACAAAGGCGTAAATGGATGCGGAAATGGAATCAAATGGACTAGCTTGATTTGGTCCATCATTGTGGAGCAAGTTGCTCAAATTGAATTGATACTGATGGGGGAAGAAACGGAAACTACCTGGTGAAGCAAGAGGCAATGTATCTGAACAAGCTAGCTGGTGAAGCAAGCAGCTCAAGGATGGAATGGGAAGCAAGCAGCTCAAGGATAGTGTCTCTCGGCAGACATGAATTAGTTGCACAAGCAAGTTGTTGGCCAAGGAAAGGTTGGGTGCATGAATTAGTTGCACAAGCAAACTGCTGGACTTTCTCTCAAACATGAATGAAGCATGTAGCTGAAGCAATCAAATCAATGATGATGTCAAGTTCATCCTATAAATAGAGGGGCTACACACCCTACTTCTATACTTTGTTCTTCCTTTCTTGTATTTGAAGTTAGCCGAAACTCTGTCCATTTTCATACCAAACTCTTGTTACCTCTCTCATTTCGTTAATCATATCTCGTATTTCATCTATCGTGGTTCTCATGTTCGTGTTCGTATTTGAGAATACCATGGTATATTGTGTTATTGAGATTACCGAATTAAGCTTCTGTTTTGTGGGGTTTTGATAATCATTTGTGGAGGTAGATTGGTTGGTTTCCACCGTCTTCGCCCAACGATTATTCCCTCGTTGGAATTTTGCTAGGTGTAATCTATTAACTCGATATACATACCGTATTCTCAACCCCTCCGTTCTTCGTCATCATGGGAATGTTCTTAACCTTATTCTTTGTAAATCTCATCATGTCCGGCTAATCTTCTAGTTGTTCCGGATTTGATGAACCCTAATATGTTTTACATGGATTGATTAGTATCTTTGATATAAACGTGTTGTTCTTTCTAAATCTCATCATGTCCGGCTAATCTTGTTCTTGTTCTTACGATATTTTCTCGACTTATCATTGGCAAGTATCAATTGTACGCCTCTATTGTATATTTTTTTCTGATACATCTAAATGAGACTGCGAGGTAATGTTACATGTTAGATCTCTCGTGAAAAGAAGGAATTGATCGGAGCCACCAATGATGGGGTCACGTAGTTCCTCTGGATTAGCTTAAAAACCTAATACGGAAATTCACAAATCTGGTTAATGCTTTGGTTTAAGAGTCTTCTAAGCCACGATTTCACTTGATTCTTAAGTCGGAAGGGTGTTAATACATGTGCGAACGTGTTAACACTAAATTGGGAATTTTCACGGTCTAAGATATGAACACTCGTCTATGTTAAATTCAACTCGTTTGTATAATGCATGTTCTGGGGATTCACTTCCGAGATAACACCTTCTCCATTTGATTTTATTTTGAAACTATTCCTATGTGTTTTTATACTTGCACGTGTTTTAATATCTTAACAAAAATCAACTAAAAATGATTGACTTGCCTATTTTTACTGTATTAGTTACGGGCGATCACATATAATGTTGGTGTAACATCCCATTCCGGCAAAACCCATATTTCGATCGCTAGAAAGTTCGCGATTTAAAATCGAGGGTTTTGATAGTATTTCAGCGAAAATCGGATTATCGATCGATCGGATAAATATACGTATTAATTATATATATATATAACCCGGGCCGCATATATATATTAACTTTTCCCCCGACCATTATCTCCATCACAATCTTCTTTGGTTCCATTTTTCTGGACCGAGAGCAGAAGCTCTTCAGGGGACGCGAGGAATTAAATTGCAAAGCTCAATTCTTGAGCTACAGTGATCCAAAAATCCCGTAAGTAATGCCTAATTCATCCATACATCGTGATTTATCGATTTAGAGCTTTAAAACGAGTTTTTGGTTCAGGAATTTCTTGAATTCCTGATAAGCCAAATTAGGGTTTCGGAGTATCCGGAAGCCGGATTGAGCCCAAATTTCATATACGAGCTTCCTGCAGCGAGGTAATCAATCCTCTAGTTCTAATCCCTGAATTTCGGCTATTATTTAGGCCAGGGTCCGAACCGCTGAATTTAGCTCCGGCCAGGGTTTGATATGTTTTTATCAAGAATTTGACCCGAAGCCTAGAACTAATATTGACGGGGATACTGCAGGGGATATTAGGGCGGTCTCGGATTTTAATTCGGGGTTCGTTCTTGAAATTGACATTTTAGTACGGGAAGCTAAAACCGGTGTTTGAACGACCAGAACTGGTGAGGGATTAGCACGGCATACCGGGTTTGTCGTATCACGATAATTATATTGATGCTTAGAATTGATCTAGGTGAACTAGAATGGCATGATTAGGGGTGTATGAACTTTTGTGCTATATGTTGAACCCTGGATTGCTGTATGATATTATTGACTTGCCCTAATCGATATGAACCTTGTTTATGCTGATGATTATGTATATGTTGCAAATTGTGGGCTTGACTATTAATATGCTTTACGATGGTTTGAGAAGGTGATTAGGTATGATTTTTCATGATTGTTGTATTTGGATGCAAAGGTGGGAAAATATATATTCCCTGGTGATATTATGATGTTTAAGGAGGATGACTTGCACGAGGGTTTATCCCGAGGAAGTGCAATTATACGACTCCTGATTTACCTATGTTGAGCCAATTATGGCCAGGTCAAGTACATGTGCAAGTAATGAATCATGATTAAGCAAGATAAGATATGAATCATGTATAAGGATACAAAATATGAGTGTTGTGGTCTCATGGTCAACTACATAGTAATTAGGGCTCCCTATGCTATTACTCTATTATGATATGTATGATAGTCACACCTCTCATGTGGTGGTGACTGAAGAATTCTTATGAGATCTGACCACACCCAGAGCGGTGTCGGGGTATGACTACACCCATAGTGGTGTGGGGTATGTATGACCACATCCGACGGGATGTTGGGGTATGTATGACTACATCCGACGGGATGTGGGGTATTTTTCCCGGGAGAGTTATTAGCATGGGAGTAGAGAGGCGCCTATAAGTAAAACATGATAAGATGCATATGCATAAGTCAAGGTGGTTGAGTCTTTTGCCTATTGGGATGTCGGAGAGCTGAGATATGATCCCAGTGCTTTGGCTTGTTTGCTAGATGTATGGTAGGGGTATGCTCTGTTATGAACTCACGATGCTATGATTATCTCACTCAGCCATGAGCTGACCCTCTTTTATTCTTCTTCTCTGCTTATGCTATGTGTAAGCAGATCATCAGCAGCAGCAGTAGATAGGTGTATAGGTGGAGCTGAGCAAGAGTTGATGCAAGATGAGGTATGGTCTTCAACTACTCTGTGTTTGGACTACTACTCGGGATTTTGGCCAGTGATCCACACCTTTTTGTAAAAATGTTTTGAGAACGTTTTTCATATGCATACTAGCTTCTGATCTAGTGTGAGATATCCACAGGTGTGGAAAGTTGATGATATGTGTATATGTTGTGTAACTGTGTAAGTTGTGATGATTATGGTACGTATAAGTATGGTATGCAGTTGTGGAGTATGAAAAGTGTGACTATGGCTAAGAAAAGTCAATGCATATGGTTGTGAGTATATATGTTTGTGATGAATTATTTTGCAGAATAAGTTGCAAGAACTGTTAGCCCATTACGCGAGTAATTCATGTCGAAATTTTATTTGGGTAAATTTTGATAATTAATGTAACGCCCGAGATTAATTCCGCTGCAATTGTATGAACAATATGATTAGGCAAATCGTATAGGGTAGGGTGTTACAGTTTGGTATCAGAGCCTGGTTCCCTCTTTTTGCTGTTATGGTGTACTATACCCTATGGGAGGTTAAACACTCCTAAGGAGGGGAGTACCCCATAATGACTTAAACTGGGAATTGAGTTTGACATGATTATGTGTATTGGTATATTGGATGAAATTACCTGCATCATGGTTTTCAAAATTGAGTTTTGAACTTATTTGTTTTCAAGTAATTATTTTGGAAATTTTTTTGTTTTAACCAAGTGAGAGATTTGGTGAAGAATGAATTTTGGGTGGATCAATCTAAGGCCAATATTTCCTTATAGCTCGCACGGAAGTTGTGAAAATGTTCCTACTGACCAGTCGAGAGGAGTGGGGACGGTTGATGCAAGACCGCCAGTATTAGATTATGCAAAGATGAAGAGTTTGGGTGGTAGGGACTTTAAAGGAGATGTGAGTCCGGATGCTGTGGTAGAGTGGTTGAGGGAGATGGAAGATCTGTTTGAATATCTTTATGCGACCCCAGAGGAAAAAGTAGAATATGTTGTTTTTCTCCTAAAGGGGTACGCGAGGAGCTGGTGGTTCTCAGTCTCTAGAGTTAATGGTGAACGAGTTCAGTTCACCTGGGATGAGTTCCTGAAGGCCTTTAAGACAGAGTTTCTTCCCGAAGCTTTTATCAGGGCAAAGAACAATGAATTCGCCAACCTTAAGCAGGAGAATATGACAGTTACTGAGTACACCATCAAGTTTGTTCGACTACTTTACTTTGAGGATGGGTTGGCGGATACTGAGCATAAGAAGAAGATGAGATACTTGCATGGTCTGCGCATAGGATTGAAAGAAAAGATCCACAGGGTTGATGAAGAGAGCATGGCCACAATCAAGGAGGCAGCACTTAAGTATGAAGCCTATGAAGTTGAGAGCCGAGAGGAACACAAGGCCAAAGAAGAGGAGAAGAAGAGGAAGTTTGGAGTAAATTATGTTGGACCTCGTTACCCACCCAGGAGAGGACCTAGCAGTTTTGGGAGAACACCGAGTCAATCTATGTCAGGAACATCATACAGGGCACCAATTTCCTCAGCCACACAATTTCCATTTTGTCAAGTTTGTCAAAAGAGGCATCTTGGAGAGTGTAGGAGATTTTCTGGTGTATGCTTTCACTGTGGCCAACCTGGGCACATCATGAGGGATTGTCCGCATTCGAGAGAAGTAAGAGCTACACAGTCCGAGCCTTCAGTGCAAATAAGTAGAGCCCCATTCAGGGGTGGTTACCAGGGAGGCCGTAGTGGATTTCAGAGTGGTCATGGTGGTACACAGGGTGGTAGAGGTGGTGGTCGAAATCAGCCATCAGGAAGTGGTACGCAGGGTACCAGAGCATAGGGAGCACCGAGGGTTTATGCAATGACTCGAGGTGAGGCAGAAGTGGCACCAGAAGTTGTGACTGGTATGCTTTCTATCCTTGGCAAGCAATTATATGCTTTGATCGATACTGGTTCCTCTCACTCATTCATGTCATATACGTTTGCACATATGCTACGCTTAGTTCCAGATAATCTAGGTTATACATTATGTGTTAAAACACCTGTGGGAGATACCTTGAAGGTAGACTCAGTAATTAGAAGTTCCTTCATTTGTGTGGAAGGAGCTTTCCTAGCAGCAGATTTAATTCTGCTACCTTTTGATGAATTTGATGTCATCCTTGGAATGGACTTTCTGGCAACACATGGAGCTGTTGTGGATTGTCAAAAGAAAGAAGTGTTATTCAGCACAACAGATAAAGGTCTTGTTGTATTCCGAGGCATTAAGAAAAGGAGACTCATGGTTTTCTTTCTGCCTTGGAAGCTTTTCGATTAGTGAAGGAAGGTTGTGAAGCCTTTCTTGCTCAAGTTACTATAGTAAATGATAAGAAGGTTGAGGATGTAGAGGTGGTAAGGGAGTTTCCTGATGTATTCCCCGAAGAACTTCCCGGCCTTCCACCAGAAAGGGAAGTAGAGTTTGATATTGAATTGGTACCTGGCACAACACCAATTTCAATGGCACCATATAGAATGGCACCAATTGAGCTGAAGGAGCTTAAAGAACAATTGCAAGAATTGTTAGACAAGGGGTTTATTCGACCTAGCATCTCACCTTGGGGTGCACCGGTTTTGTTTGTCAAGAAGAAAGATGGCTCCATGAGAATGTGCATTGACTACCGGAGGTTGAATAAGGCAACAGTGAAGAATCGTTATCCCCTTCCAAGAATAGATGATTTGTTTGATCAATTTCAGGGTGCATCAGTCTTTTCTAAGATTGATTTGAGGTATGGATACCATCAATTGAAAGTGGCAGATGGAGCAACCTCAAAGACAGCTTTTAGAACAAGATATGGGCATTATGAGTTCCTAGTAATGCCTTTTGGACTCACTAATGCACCAGCGGTATTTATGGCTCTTATGAACAGAGTTTTCCATGAATATCTTGATAAGTTTGTGATCGTGTTCATAGATGATATTCTCATCTATTCTAAAAGCGAGGAGGAGCACAAAACTCACCTTAGAATTGTGTTGCAAATTCTAAGAGAGAAACAATTATATGCAAAATTCTCAAAATGTGAGTTTTGGCTGAAGGAGGTAATATTTCTGGGACATGTAATTTCTGGGAGAGGTGTCGAG